CCTGCGAAGTCTTCTGCACCTCCATGAATCTGTCCGCGAAATCTTTGACGGCTGATCCGAAGAGGCCTGCTGGTGAAATGGGCGCGTCGAGGAACACAGAGCGCTCGGCTTCCGTCATCTCGGACAGCGTCAGCCATAAGTGTCTCTCAGCCACGGTGAGAGAGGCCATATTCCGTCCTATGGCCTGTGCAGCGGCTTTAGCAGCGCGAAGAGCGAGGTCTGTAGCGCTTCTCAGGTCCGCCACGCAGATCGCTTCGGGTCCTTCCTCGTCCAGTTTTAGGAGAAGGTCGGCCTGGAAGATCTGCAGGATAGCCATAGTGTGCAGCGCTGAAACTGCTTGCCCGGCGGCGGTGTAAGCGTGTCCGTGCATGGCTGACGTCACTCGGCAGGCTTTAGGCGGTAGCGTCGTGTGAGCGCGCCGTCCAGCGGAGGGCGGGCAAAGATGAGACGCTACAGCTGGCTCCACAGGGGGAACGGAGAGGTACCCTCTGTCCTTCGCACCATCCACCGTGAAGAAAGCAGCAGAGGCAGAGGTACGCAGCCTGGCGGAGAAGGGGGCGTTCCACGACTTAGTCACTTCCTCGTGTAGTTCAGGGAGGAAGGGGGAGGGCCTTGACTTCGACGGAGCCTCGTCTTTTCCGAGAAAGCGTCCGTCCAGTCTGTTGCGCGGCGGTTGCGCGGGCACCTCCCAGTCGAGGCCGATGCTTTCCACGGCCTGAGAGAGCAGACGCATCAGCTCAGTCTCAATGCCGGCTCTCTTACCAGTGGTTTGGCGGGAAACGCTAGCGGAGGGGAGGTCCACGGAGCTCGCCCAATCCTCGCTATCGGATGCCAAAAGAGAACACGCCTCGGTGGGTTCGTCGAACTCGTGGACGGACGCGGCGGCAGGCGGCGGCCGCTGTCCGTCGGTGACCGACTCGAGTGAAGCCGGCGAAGCTGGCGGGCGAACCGGCGAGCTTTGGCGGGCTGGAGAGAGCTCGGGGGCGCGCTGGGCGCGACGCTTCTTGCGGCGCGGCACCACGGCGGGCTGTGGTGAAGGCTCGGAGAATGATGCCAGGCGAGTCCTCAGAGTCAGCATAGGCAAAAGCTCGCAATGAGGGCATCCGCCGTCAGCGAGCGCGATAGCCGCGTGATCCTCACCCAGGCAGGACACGCAGATGACATGACGGTCCCCGTCGCTGAGTGGGGCGCGGCACGAGCCACAGGATGGCATATTTAAAAAGACGCAGCTCTTTTTGTGACGAGAAGTGAAAGTCGCGTCAAGTAAGCGAGCTAACACTTCTCAGCAGAGTAAATACAATAGGATATAAAAGGATATAGCACGCCGGAAAGCGCAGCAGGTACGGCAGTTGAAGGCGGCGAGGCCAGCGACTCCAGAAGCTCGTCCCGCTGAAAAGCTTGCTTCGACGGCGTGGCTTCTCACTCCGGATCCAGCGATGCGTGTGCTTCGCTGAAGAGATGAAAATCAGCTTGTACCAGCCTAACGAGCATATTTATAGGGCTAGACCACGCCCTTTCTGGCGGGACGTGACGATATGGGCGCGAGTTGCCCCCATTGGTCATTACGTCACGCAGAGTCTCTCGATAGGCTGCTGCATTTGCCGCAAGAGCAACCAATAGGCGCGCAAGCTGTCTCGCCTGTGTCTGCTTGCTGCTGCAAAGCGTTTTACATTAATAAAAAATTAAGGATAATTTTTGGCTTCAATATCTCGTGGAAAAGAGGTTTTCTATTACTATTTCTATCTATTACGCAGTACGAGAGATACTCTCGTAAGAGAACTTCAGAAGCGTAAATGAAAACTTCAGAAGCAAACGAAAACTTCAGAAGCGTAAATGAAAACTCTTGAAGCGCACTTGTAAGTTTAGATCAGTAAAAGAAATATGAGGAATAATTAGCAAAACATGCAGTGTATTAAAAACAAAGTTAAAAAAATTGCCTGCGATTCATTCTTTTTCAGTTTCAAAGATATTTTATTCAGTTTCAATTCATATTTTCATTGATTTCTTGAAAAGTTACGTTCATTTTTATCAGCACAAAAATAATTCCATAGGGGTATGCGGGGTTCTCTGCAGGTTCAGAACAGCGCCTCCTGTAGGGAGATGAGTGGAACAGTCAAACTCTCTCAAATGAACGTCTTTGAATCGTCTCAGAACAACATGAAGGTAGGCTATATCAACATACCGGTAACTAAGAATAAAGAAGCTATAACTAAAGAAATCACAGCTTGTGTGTATCAGCTACATTGTTGAACCAAAATATTAAAGTATATCAATAATAACAATTTTACATTATAAAAAATAAAAACTGAATACCCAAACACACTTATTCACACATGCTGTTTTCATGTTCAATGGGGACTTTCAATAGACATAATGATTTTTTTTATATATTATATCCCTAATCCTAACCAGAAAACTTTCTGCATTTTTACATAAAAAAAACATAATTTAGTCTGATTTATAAGCTGTTTTACTCATGGGGACCAAAAAATGTCCCCACACAGAAGGATTTCGGATATTGCCATCTTTGTGGGGACATTTTGTCCTCATTACGTAGGGTTTACCTGGACACACACACACATAACATTACACTGATTGTCTGTAATTATTTGTTTGTTTTTGTGCGAAAGAGCTTGTGATTCCTGCACTTCCAGAAAAGGCAAATAGAATGAGGTTATGTGACCCCACAGCAGCCATACAACTTCCTGAATGCAGAAGCGGGACAATCTTCACTGCATGAACCTTATTATATGCTTATACTGAACTGCTGCTCTGCAGAGAGGTAAGGTAACACATACTCGCATATTTACATTCAGGGATAGAACTGTGAGTGCTTCTGTCTGAGGTCAAGATAAGTGTAATGGTAATAGCGTGTGTATACTGTACATGTGCAGATATAACCAGAGTCACTGGTGACTGCCCGTGCCAGTGTGACGGTGATGCATCCAGAACTGGGCTGTTTGATAAGCTGTGTTCAACTGCAGGAGTTCTCCATAATACTGCTATACGCTGAAGAAGGCCAACGTCCAGCTATAACATTCTCATAATGTCTGATTAAAATAATAATAGCTAAATAATACATTTTATAAATTATGTATACATTCATATAAAAGTATTATTTATAAATATAATTTACATTGGTAAATTAATACAGTTATTGACATTTTATTAATAATAACAATAATAATTTTGTGTTATTTTTTAAAAAAAACATTAGCAATAATATTTATAAGCTAAATAATAATTTTACATTAACTGTCTGCAATTGAATATGCACTGAATTCTTTTTTTCTTTGCGAGGGGTCACCAGGATGTTGGTGCACTGCAGCCTCGGTCGGAGTCGTAGCACGGTGCTCACGTTAGGATTCCTGATGGAGCATCGCCGTTGGTCTACGTGCTTTTCGTTGGCTGAAGGAAAGACGAGCTTGCGGTGCCTCAAACGCTGGCTTTCTTCGGCAACTCTCTGACTATGAGGAACTGCTGTTTGGCCAACGGCTCACCTCACTGGATGACATCCAGAAGGAATCCTCTTCACAGACTTATAGATGGTTGTGTTAATGATCAGTTAATCAGTTAATGAGCTTTGTTATTATGACGAATCAACCAAACCTCTATTAATCTAACACCAAATGGTCTGTAAATGGCTTTATTGCATACTAAGAAGGATAAAAAAGGAGGAAAGAGAATGTACTATAGGGAATATTAGTAAAGACGTTCTATCATAAGCCAAAGAAACACGAAAATTTCATCATACAAATGCAATTTTTTTTATATTTTCTAAATGCCATGCAGGCCTAAATGCTCATTCCAATATTTTTTTATTCCTTTTTTTATCTTTGATTTCTATTTTTTCTTTTAGGATGTGGTGGCTAAAGGTGACAAAATGTATTTGTGTCTAGTTTAGGTTTTGTTTGTAAGAAAAGACATGGGTTTATTTCGGCTTCTTGAGAGATCTAAAGATCTAAAGCAGTGTTTGACCTTAATGATTTACACTGAGGGCTGGGATACAGAAATAAGTTTGGAATCAGTCTCGCAGGAGCACTCCATAATCATTTTAGTATGAGTCAAGTTATATTTAGCTGTTGAGAAGCAGCAGTATTACAAGAAATCATTACAAATAATTTATTAAAAACAATAATAGAAAAGAAATACTCAAGGCAACTCTCAAAAGATTGTGCTAGCAAAATAATAATAAAACCTTTTTTGTAATTGAGCATTTCAAATAAGCCTAATACAGAAAATGTTAATTAAAACTTTGAAATGCTCAACATCAGCTATACACAGAGTGCAATAAACTGTATTTATGAAAAATGCCTGCTGTTGTGTCTCTATTGTGTGTTACAGTTTCACAAACAAACAGAAACATTCTTCAGACTATGTGAAAAACGGTTCCCTCGTTTATAGCCAAGTGTTAATTTGGAAAGCAAAGTTTGCATTCAGAAATTAAACCAGCAAAGTCTTAACCCAGAATGTCTCATAAGGTTATTAAAAATCAAAAAGAGAGGACGCAACAGAGAAAGACAGAGTGGAGAGAGGGAAGAGATATACTTCCACTTCTTTTTGCACAGAAAAAATAAATTCAGTGCATATTCATTATGGACCACAGCCATAAAATAAAAAGGGTAATAGCCTATAAAAAGTAATCTATACTTGAAGTGAGCCTTGACTGACACATAATGGCATTAAAATAATAATCACAAGTTTATTACCCGTGCTGGTGGGTTCAACAAAAATTTTAAGAAACAAAATCTTATGGATACAATTTGCTGTTATTAGCCACTGTGTCAGTATAAACTGTATTATATGTATCAAATCAAGTAACATGGAAAATACGCCAGAATTCCAATGAAGAAGAAGAAAGTAACATGAGATATAGGAATTGCATTGTGCGCATGCGCAGTTCGAAATTCCACCTGGTTCCATGAGTTTGGGAGAGTGTGTGAGACTCTGCACGTAGCTCAGCGGAATCCCCTCCGCCAGATGTCGAGGAGTCGGAGGAGATAAAGCCCAGCTGCACACCAGAAGCATCGTAAACACAGTAGAGTCCTCCATCCACACTGAGCTCCTCATCAGCACCACTAGAGCAACTTCTGGATCGATTCACTGTTTCTCTGCGCGTGTGACAGCCTGAAAGGTACGATTTTATTTGCTTTCCAAGTTTGATTTGTTTAATTTTGGGTTTTTTAATCAAATGATTTGTTGTTGCAATGACTTTTTATGTATGTAATATGATGCATTATATCTACATGGAAAACTCTTTGATATTAAAAACTCCTGATGCGTAAAAAAAGTATCGGGCAGGAATTTCTTCTGGCTGAGAAAAAGTACCGACCGGACGTGCACGAGGTTATCTTACACTCAATCTTCAATGTAAACAATAATATAGTCACAATAATAAGCTATCTAAATGTGCATTGATTGAATAGGCTACTTCAGTTTCAAGCTCATTAAGCGCGACCTAAAGTCAGTCTTCGGATCTAATTTGAGATATGACAAAGTCTCCGTAGATATAAGTTTTTGTTTTCGCTATTACGAGGAAAATGTTTTTGTTCTAAAGTGGAAATCAATGTGGACAAGTCAAAAGCACGTTACATATTTCGCAGCACTGTAATAACTTTGCAAAAATGTTGTTACGGTGTTTCTCTGCGTCAAGCACGCGTAACGTCGCAGCGTGCCTCTCGTTGACTGGCACACATGCTGCAGTATTCCGTGTGTTTTTTTTAAAGTCCCACCTGCCCTGTTGCGCCGATTTTTAAAACTTTTTTGGCATCTGTTATCTGTGAACTTTTTGAAGAGTTTGCAGTCGGCTAAACTCATCTCGTGCTCTCGAGGGGGCGGGGCGAAGACGTGGCAGTGCAGTCTGCACCGAATGAACTGCGTTTGGCTTCCATGCTGGACCCTCACGAGCTCACGAACACCACTCTATGGTCTTTCCTGTAATTATGCAGTACCTTTTGAACTTTTGACAATCTAAGTAATGTACTCTTAAGTAATAATTTCTTTTCGCATATATAAGACAAATATGGGGGGGGGATTAATATAATATTAATATAACATAATAAGTATTAATTGCTAATACTTATGTTATAGTACATGATGTGTCATTAACATTAGCCAAGAAGCCTTCTGTCATTCACATGGTGGTTTAGAAGTTCCTGCAGAGCACATGAGCAAACTGCGTTACCAGGTCCCGTTAGTTTGGTGCCTTGAGGGCCTTTTTTGTTTGTTGCATATCTCATGTGTCAGATGCCTTTTGCACATTTGCAACATATCAAACTCAGATTTACATTTTACATTTAACCTTCTAACTGTCACCAAACCCCCTACTGTAAGTATTTAGTTGTAATTCATGAATGCTTTGGAATATAGACCAAAGGTTGGTAGGCACTCAGCAGAATATTGCAGAAGTGAAAAGGAGTTTAAAGTACCACTTTCCTTGTAACGTAATGCCCAATTTCAAAACGGTTTACACAGGATGAATTTTGAGTGTTTAAGCTTTAGAATGATACTTTTTTATTTATTTATGTTGATTATTAAAATATGTGATAGGGGAAAAGGGCATTAAAAAAGTGCACCAAGTGTCCCTATAGTTAACAGGCTATGATGCAATAGTTAACTAATAAAGCAAAAAGTGCTTATGATAATGTGTGTTACACTTGTGTGGATCTCATTGTGTGGAGTTTGTCAGGGCATTTGTCCAACGAGGCTTTTTCTTTGCTCTAAGGCTTACCCCTGGTTGCCGTATTTGTCCTTTTCAACAAACAAACGTGACATCTTGTTTATACACGCTGACACTGGCTTAAACACACAAAAGGGATCTTCCCATAGGCCCAGCGGGATGCTCTTTGTTTGCTCTCTGGACACCACATTTGTGCCAAAATTCTGAGCCAGCAGTGACCAAATTCAGCCAGCTATATTCCATGTATCCAAATGGGAGTGCACTGGGGGTTATGGCAACCAAAACCTAATTTTCCAATGTATTTGTTTGCATTTTTAAAGCAGCCTGTGTATGTTAATGGCTTCAGTAATGCATTTCCCTTGCCCTAAAGGTTGTAGTATCTGTTTGTGTGAACACCTCAAAAGACAGAAATAATAAATTCTTCCGATATTGTCAGGAAGATGTTGTGCAATGCATTGGTAGATGTATCACATGTATCAGATGTATCACTGTTTCTCTCAGGATGGCATTGTCTTGGTTCCTGTTGAGTTTCCTCTTCCGTTCCCTGTACGCCCACAATGATTTCTTCACTTCTATAGGTAAGATGATCTTCCATTGTGTTGTTCTGCCTCGTATCCATTTCTGACTAAGCTATAGGCCTACATCTTGCCAAACATATGAAACATGCAGGAAGTGGTTGAGACTAAGAAGTGAAGGTTTATCTATCTATCTATCTATCTATCTATCTATCTATCTATCTATCTATCTATCTATCTATCTATCTATCTATCTATCTATCTATCTATCTATCTATCTATCTATCTATCTATCTATCTATCTATCTATCTATCTATCTATCTATCTATATGTATTGACAAGTGTCATTTTAATCTGAGGGGATTTCATAAGAAGAATTTTTATGCCAATCAATGAACAAAATGGATATACTAGCAAAAAAAAAGTAGTACTTTTACACAACTGAGCTGGACTCCCTTAATGCATTGTGGCCTTTAGGAGAAACCATTACAAAAATCGCTTTTGACCAGTAATTCCCAAGTAATTCCAACCCATGAACATTATTTTTAGTTTGATCCTGTTATCTATACATGGCAATTTCAGTAAATATCTGGAATATTGTGCTAGCACCTGAAAGGGTGTTATAACAAAATTGTCATTGAAGCTTTGTGTAATATTTAGTCTTCTGTTTCAGATCTGACGTGTGACTTTTTGATTTGTAGGCCAGATGACAGACCTACTGTACACAGAGAAGGACCTGGTAAAATCACTAAAAGAATACATTAGACAAGAGGAAAACAGACTAGAGCAGGTCAAAGAGTGAGTAAACACACACACACACACGTTGTGTTATATAGGGACTATCCATAGACATAATGATTTTTATACTGTACAAACTGGATATTCTATCACCTTAGACTAACCCTACCCCTAAACCTACCCATCACAGAAAGCTTTCTGCATTTTTACATTTTCAAAAAACATCACTTAGTCTGATTTATAAGCTGTTTTCCTCATGCGTACCAAAAAATTTCCCTTCAAGGACAAAGATTTTGGATATTGCCATCTTTGTGGGGATATTTTGTCCCCATAATGTAGGGTTTACATGGAGACACACACACAGTCATTTTTGGTAGTCATTTGACAGCTCATTGATAGCTGGTGAATATTTTGTTTCTTTACCTGCATCAGGTGGGCAGACAAACTGGACTCACTGACGAACACAGCCACGCAGGACCCAGAGGGATTCCTGGGGCACCCGGTCAATGCATTCAAACTGATGAAAAGACTCAACAGTGAGTGGGCCGACCTGGAGACCCTGGTGCTGAAAGATACCACCAATGGTTAGTGACCGTCAAAGTCTGACATAGTAATTAGGGATGGGCGGAATTACATTATTTATCTATACATAAAAGATATGTTTATATAGTTACTGTTTTTTACTGTCTCAAGTGTTGCGTAACGTGAAGCTGTTTTTGAACTGATATCGGACTTATTATTCATTTGCAAAGAATGACTGATTTGTATTTACCAATCAAGTCCTACTTTCTACATGGTTAGGAAACAAATAAAACATTTTCAGGTTGAATTTTTAGCATAAATAACAGTATTGTATGACATACGCTACCATTCAAAAGTTTGGGGTTGGTATGATTTTTTAGTCTTACGTTCACCGGGGCTGCATTTATTTGATAAAAAAACAGTAAAAAACTGTAATATTATGAAATAAAACATTTATTTAAAATAACGGTAAATAAAACAATTTAAAATAATAGTTTTCTATTTTAATATGCTTTAAAAAATGATTTATTCCTGTGATGCAAAGCTGAATCCAGTCTTCAGTGTCATATGATCCTTCAGAAATCCTACTGATAATAATCATTTCTGATTTGGTGCTAAAGAAACATTTCTCATTATTATCAATGTTGAAAACAGTTGTGCTGCTTCATGTTTTTGTGGTAACCGTGATAATTGTTTGTCTGTATACTTGTAGAAAGTTCAAAAGAGCAGCATTTATTTCAAATAGAAATCTTTCATAACATCAAATGTCTTGTCACTTTTGCTCAATTTATTACATCCTTGCTGAATTAAAATATTAATTACTGAAAAAAAAAATGTTTTACTGGCCCCACAGTACTATACTGTTACCGTTATGTATGATTTTTGTCATACAGTAGTCATATTATTATTAGCATAAATGTCTCTATATGTGTTATACACTTCTTAAGCTGTTGTATTCCTCAAGATCAAGCCTCTCCTCTCTGTTCTCTTTTGTAGGGTTTATCTCTAATCTGACTGTCCAGAGACAGTTTTTCCCAACAGACGAGGACCAGACAGGAGCAGCCAAAGCTTTGCTCAGATTACAGGACACATACCAGCTGTCTGCCAACACCATCTCTAATGGAGACCTGCCTGGTGAGCGACTGTGCATGTCTATGTGTTTATGCATTCCAGACCGCTTGAAAATATTCATCAAGCACATTGCGTTAACTCTTTGAGAAGTATCATGTTGTGTCTGTGATAAGTTGTTTTTATATTTCTTTGGCAATTCTTTCAAATGTTCCCATGGGATAGAGTGATAATCTCTGTGCCATTTTAAAGAAATGTAAACACCATCGACTAGTTGTTTACACCTGGAGGTGATGTGTGTTTCAAATGTCTCCTGTGACTACTTAACCGCAGATGGTTATTTAGAAAGTGAACCCTTGTTGTAGTCGAATGGTTGATTGACAGGTGGGAAGGCTGTCCTTTGGATAAGCAACAAAATAAATATCTTAAAAAAACAACATCAAAATCATATTAGTATAATGATAGTTAGAACAACGCTACTGAGTATATGACATCCAATTAAGAGACCATTTGTTTTTGTGCGTCCCTTTACTGGTGTGGCCTCAGGTGTTGTGCACAAGAGCCGGATGACGGTGGCAGACTGCTATGAGCTGGGGAAGATTGCATACTCTGAGACAGATTACTATCACACAGAGCTCTGGATGGCTCAGGCCCTCACACAGCTGGATGAAGGCGAGGAATCCACCATAGACAAGGTCACAGTTTTGGACTACCTCAGTTATGCCATCTACAAGCAGGATGAACTAGAGCGAGCCCTCGAGCTCACCAAGAGGATGCTGAAGCTGGGTAAAAAAAAAATCTCAAACTAATAATTTAATAACATGGTTAAATGCAGTGTTGTTTATATATTATATAGTATTTATTACAATTTTGAATTAGCTTTTATTTTTATATTTTTAAAGGGATAGTGCACCCTAAAATGAAAATTAAGTCAAAATGTACTCACCCTGGTGTTGTTCTATTGCCGTACACACAAGTATCACAGAATGATCCCATCCGACCCGTGCCATATATCCCTAGTGTTCTGTGGGTATACGATAAAGTTTAATGAAAAACAATCGAAAAACGATTTCTTACAACGTGTGTGCTTTTTCTGGGTGAGAAAGAGTGAACTGTGGCGCTGATAGAGTCTCATGAATGCACATGTCATGCAGCCGTGCAGAGAAGACCAACGGCCAAGGTCAAGAATTTAATTAAATAATACATTAAATTTCAGTTTGTTTTTTCACCAAACCCTATCGTATACCCACAGTACACTTGTGATATACGGCACATGTCACGGCAATGAATGAATGAATGAATGGAATATAATAACTTGTATGGCTTTGTAAGGAAGGACCATGGTGGAGATAATGAACATAAAAAAATGATTACTGATGACACTAAACTATGATATTTTTCCAAACTTAAAATTGCCTTTGTGTGTGAATCTCAGACCCAGATCACCACAGGGCCAATGGGAACCTAAAGTACTTTGAGTTCCAGCTGGAGAAGCAGAGAAAGGCAGAGGCTGAGAATAAGGAAGTGGAAGATAAAAAAAGAGAGAAGAAAGTGCTGGACAAACATGACACTGAGAGCAAACGGTCCAAAGACCCTCTGCCAGAGAGAAAGAAATATGAAATGCTGTGCAGAGGGGAGGGAGTAAAACTGGTGAGCAGAAAGATATTTTTTTCCCCCCTAGTTTTTAAATGTTTTAAATGTTTTCTCAAATTCTTTCTTTTGCTTACTTTACTAGACCCCACGCAGACAAAGCCGCCTGTTTTGCCGTTACTATGATAACAACCATAATCCACTGTTGCTTTTGGCTCCAGTGAAGCAGGAAGATGAGTGGGATCGCCCACGTATTGTCCGTTATCATGACATCATCTCTGACAGTGAGATCGAGACAGTGAAGGAGATGGCAAAACCCAGAGTGAGTTGGACTTACTAAAGTTATGCTGTGGTTTGCAGTTTGAACTTGTGATTTGGTTATTCATTTAATAGTTTTTTATTTATTTAATTTATATTTTTTATTATACATTTTAAATGATAAATAATTTATATATATATATATATATATATATATATATATTTTTTTTTTTTTTAAATAAATCTTCTAGACAGTGACTTGTATACAGTATGTGGACCTTAACGGTGTACAACACCTTTTTAGTTTTTTGGGGGGGGGGTTTTGTTGCTGATATTAGCTGTCATTTAAATTTTTGGAGATAGCTTATGTGACTGTTGAATCATAAAAAAGTCTTTTTGAAGCTCAAAAGTCAAGTTTAGAAGCATGAAATAATGATATGAATAGTTTTCAAATGCTAACAGAAATCAAGAATATAGAAGTAGGCCTAGTCTGTTAATTTTAAGTTTAAGTTTAAGTCGTTTTTGAGTTTGAGTAACTTAGACTATATAAATGTAGTATTTATGAGTGAGGGGTTAAAAGTGCTTTACAGGAGCCTGTGTGTAATCCATATCTGGCTCCTCAGCTCCGTAGGGCTACTATATCCAATCCCATCACGGGCGTGCTCGAGACCGCCCCCTACAGGATCAGTAAGAGGTAAGGCCATAAGTGTGGGAATCTAGAAGACCGCCAAAAAGACGAACCGTCATGCCTTAACCGATCCATAGAATCTGAGAACTCCTTAGCAGAAACAATGCAAAACACTGCAAATCATAAATCACAATTGTTAAATTAATTGCTTTAAAAAATTCTAATATACACTGAACAAAATTATAAACGCAACACTTTTGTTTTTGTCCCCATTTTTCATGAGCTGAACTATATACACAAAAGGCCTATTTCTCTCAAATATTGTTCACAAATCTGTCTAAGGCCTTGTCCACACGGACACGGGTATTTTTATAACCGGAGTTTTTCCTACAGCGTTTTTAAAAAAAATCCCGTCCACACATGCTCGGTCTCCGTCTACATGAAAACGCAAAAACACGTATCAAGCGCGGTCAAGAGCATGCCACGCCAGCAGGCGGCGATATAAACCTTAACCGTAAAGCCACGTTGGCCAATCAGAAGCGCAAATCTGACGTCAAACACAGCGGATAACGGCGCACACTCTGACGTCGCAAGGCAAAAACCCCCCGTTTCACTGTCTACACGACAACACTGTAACCGGCGTTTCTGAAAATCCTCACCCTGGCAGGGGTTTTCAAAAATGTTCGGTTTCAGTGCGTTTTCGTGTGGACGAACGGCCGAACCGCGTAAAAAAAGTCACGGTTATAAAAATACCCGTGTCTGTGTGGACAGGGCCTAAATCTGTGTTAGTGAGCACTTCTCCTTTGCCGAGATTTGTGAACAATATATAAGAGAAATACACTCACCGACCACTTTATTAGGTACACCTGTCCAACTGCTCGTTAACACTTAATTTCTAAGCAGCCAATCACATGGCGGCAACTCAGTGCATTTAGGCATGTAGACATGGTCAAGACAATCTCCTGCAGTTCAAACCGAGCATCAGTATGGGGAAGAAAGGTGATTTGAGTGACTTTGAACGTGGCATGATTGTTGGTGCCAGAAGGGCTGGTCTGAGTATTTCAGAAACTGCTAATCTACTGGGATTTTCACGCACAACCATCTCTAGGGTTTACAGAGAATGGTCCGAAAAAGAAAAAACATCCAGTGAGCGGCAGTTCTGTGGGCGGAAATGCCTTGTTGATGCCAGAGGTCAGAGGAGAATGGCCAGACTGGTTCGAGCTGATAGAAGGGCAACAGTGACTGAAATAACCACTCGTTACAACCGAGGTATGCAGCAAAGCATTTGTGAAGCCACAACACGCACAACCTTGAGGCGGATGGGCTACAACAGCAGAAGACTCCACCGGGTACCACTCATCTCCACTACAAATAGGGAAAAGAGGCTACAATTTGCAAGAGCTCACCAAAATTGAACAGTTGAAGACTGGAAAAATGTTGCCTGGTCCGATGAGTCTCGATTTCTGTTGAGACATTCAGATGTTAGAGTCAGAATTTGGCGTAAACAGAATGAGAACATGGAACCATCATGCCTTGTTACCACTGTGCAGGCTGGTGGTGGTGGTGTAATGGTGTGGGGGATGTTTTCCTGGCACACTTTAGGCCCCTTAGTGCCAATTGGGCATCGTTTAAATGCCACGGCCTACCTGAGCATTGTTTCTGACCATGTCCATCCCTTTATGGCCACCATGTACCCATCCTCTGATGGCTACTTCCACCATGTCACAAAGCTCTAATCATTTCAAATTGGTTTCTTGAACATGACAATGAGTTCACTGTACTAAAATGGCCTCCACAGTCACCAGATCTCAACCCAATAGAGCATCTTTGGGATGTGGTGGAACGGGAGATTCGCATCATGGATGTGCAGCCGACAAATCTGCGGCAACTGTGTGATGCCATCATGTCAATATGGACCAAACTCCCTGAGGAATGCTTCCAGCACCTTGTTGAATCTATGCCACGAAGAATTGAGGCAGTTCTGAAGGCAAAAGGGGGTCCAACCCGTTACTAGCATGGGGTACCTAATAAAGTGGCCGGTGAGTGTAGGCCTTTTGTGTACTTAGAAAAAACCTTAGATCTTTGAGTTCAGCTCATGAAAAATGGGGGCTAAAACAAAAGTGTTGCGTTTATAATTTTGTTCAGTGTATATTTTAAATAACTAAAACAGAGAATAAAAACTCACCAGGCACTTTATTAGGTACACCTGTTCAACTGCTCACTAACGCAAATATCTAATTAGCCAATCACATAGCAGCAACTCAATGCATTTAGGCATGTAGACATAGACAAGACAATATGCTGAAGTTCAAACTGAGCATCAGAGTGGGAAAGAAAGGTGATTTAAGTGACTTTGAACGTGGCATGATTGTTGGTGCCAGACGGGCTGGCCTGAGTATTTCAGAAACTGCTGGTATTTTCACGCACAACCATCTCTAGGGTTTATATAGAATGGTCTAAAAAAAAGAGGAAATATCCAGTGAGCGTCAGTTCTGAGGGCGAAAATGCCTTGTTAATGCCAGAGGTCAGATGAGAATGGCCAGACTGGTTCGAGCTGATAGAAAAAGGTAACAGTAACTTAAATAACCATTGGTTACAACCAAGGTTTGTAGAAGAGCATCTCTAGTCTGTACACACAACATGTCGAACCTTGAAGCAGACAGGCTACAGCAGCAAAAGAACACACTGGGTGCCACTCCTGTCAGCTAAGAACAGGAAACTGAGGCTACAATTCATACGGGCTCACCAAAATTGAACAATAGAAGATTGGAAAAACAAGGCCTGGTCTGATGAGTCTCGATTTCTGTTGCGACATTCAGATGATAGGGTCAGAATTTGCCATAAACAACATGAAAGCATGGATCCATCCTGCCTTGTATCAACGGTTCAGGCTGCTGCTGATGGTGTAAGGGATATTTTCTTGCCACACTTTTAGCCCCTTAGTACTAATTGAGGATTGTTTAAATGCCACGCCGGTATTGTTGCTGACCATGTCCATTGCTTTATGACCACAGTGGACCCATCTTCTGATGGCTACTTCCAGCGGGATAACGTGCGATGCCACAGCTCAAATCATCTCAAACTGGTTTCTTGAACATGACAATGTGTTCACTTTACTCAAATGGCCTCCACGGTCACAAGATCTCTATCCAATAGAGCATCTTTGGGACTGCTTGATGCTATCATGTCAATATGGACCAAAATATCTGAGGAATTTTTTCAGCACTTTGTTGAATCTATACTACAAAGAATTAAGGCAGTTCTGAAGGCAAAAGGGGGTCCTAATCTGTACTTGCGAGTTGAACCTAATAAAGTGGCTGGTGAGTGTATATATGATTTTTTTTTTTTTAAACATTATTTTAGAGCATACTGAAATCTAGAGTTTAAAATATTTCATTGCATGTTCACAGGCACTAGCTGTGACTTGTAAACACATATATATATTGGTTTCATGCTGAGGAGTTCCCTTTCGAGGGAACTCGCGATGCGTCACTTGACGCTTTGGGAACGCCCCCAGCGTGAATGCGTCTGAGCATCAATGTCAACTAGTCCAATGGAAAGAATGAGCGTCACGGGCGGGTGACGTCATGACCAGGAAGGCATAAGAGCACATCCGGTGAAACGCGGCATTAGCTTCTGTGTCTCAGCAAGCGATCTGTGTTACTCTGCCTCTGTCTATTTATTGTTGTCTGTTCGATATTATTGGGAAGAGTTATGGCGAAACAACTTTACAAACTCTGTGCTTCTCCCTGCCCGCGTTATTTAACGGGTGGGGACACACACGAGCTTTGTGTAGTTTGTTTGGGAGTGGAGCATGCGGTATCAGCCTCCGAGGGCAACATTGTGAGAACATTGTCAGCCTCTGATTGCAACATTGTGAGAAGCTTTCGCTTCGCATGCTCCACTCCCGCCTGTCACTTTTCGAGGAAAGTGGCCAGGCTCGCGATCCTCGGGGTGCAGGACACGCGTCTGCCGAGGCAGCGCGGAGAATGCATTCCTGTGGATCGCGAATAGGATCTCGTTACGGGGTTGGAGACGGGTCCGCGGATCTTATCTCCTCCCTTTCCACGAGGGATCCAGTGCTCTCTCTCCGGTCTCGGAAGCCCGCGCTGCGGTCTCTTCCGCCCGGGGAGAGAAATCAATGCTTCAGTGCTCTACCTCCGAGGAGGTAGATGTGCTGGGCATTGAAAGTGTACACAATCATGGGGGAAGTGGATTTGCCATCTCTTCCCCAGCGTATGAGAATTATATATAGCCTATATATATATATATATATATATATATATATATATATGATAGTTTATATATTATATATAAAATAAAGTGTATATGTATAAAGAATGTATATAAAAAAATATATATATAATAATAAGCTGGTGGAGGTGTTTACTAAGGCTGTAGATAAATTAAATATTTAATGGCCAGCAGAAATAAGGGGGCACTCTTCCTTAAAATAAATTGAACGAGTTTCCTTCCCTCTATTTTTCCACCTCCATCACGGGGCCTTCCATTTTTCCCGATCTGCACAGCGAGCTGTCTAGATCATGGAAAAAGCCTTACTCATTTTTTAGCCCCACATTCATGTATATTCAGATATTTGGGGGTTAAGAGAGTATGGCTATGGGGCAATACCCCGGGTAGAACAGACACTTGCGAGCTATGTCTCCCGGTTCAGTATCGTCCCTGAAGGCGTCGGCTTCTCTCACTAAACCATTAAAGAAAACTATTTTTTAATCTAGTGGGAAAAGCATATATGGCAGTGGGTCTAGCACGAGCCTGCTTGCACACTATAGCAGTGCTGCAAGCATATCAGGCTGACCTGCTGTGGTATTTGGACAGAAGTGAGGGAGTTTGGCCCGATGGGGTTTGAGAACTCCGTCGGGCCTCAGATTTATCTCTCAGGGATGGCAGCCAAAGAAATGTGGTCACTGAGAGACACCTCTGGCTCAATTTGATGGGAATCATGGAGAAAGATACAAGATAATCTCTCCCTCACTATGTCCAACCCACTGGGGCTGCTGGGCGTGAGCAGCTCCAGCCGGCTAGTTTCTCATACACAACACAGC